AAATTAGTGTTGCGCTAGATGTAACACTATAGTTTAAACACTAATCTGTGTTTTTCTAGACGTTAAAAATGTTTTGATTTTTTGTAAGTATATTTATGCGTGATTTATTCCGCCCATTTAGGTCTTCATGTACTATGTATATAACCGGGTGCAATTAAATAATTCAAATAAAGAATGCTATTTATATCATATAATAAATTACACATTGTCATTTAGAGTCATACTAAATTACACATGTATATTATATTGGATTACAAGAAATAACGGAACGATATCACAATAAAATAATAAAAACTGAAATATAAATTTTATTTTAATTCCGAGTCAATACATTGTTATAGTATTTCTTTTAAGTATATAAACTCAGTTCAAACTCAAACTCAATTCAGTGAATATTAAATTAAAAACAAGTCTTAAAACATTTATATGCAAAAGCGAGTTAAAACCTTGAAAAATAGATACCGCCGTCAGAGAAGAATCGTATATCAACATTTTGTGTTTTTTTTTTTTTGTCCATTATCAATAAATATTCAGGAGTGTGTGTTTCATAAATATACCACAACAATAAAATTTTAGGAAATATTTAAATAATCAGTCGAATTTTCTGGAAGAAAGACTTTGCAAATTAAAATTTGAAACTTGATTTTCTTGGAAACACAAAAAAAAGACATACGGTCTCTTGGTTCTCGGCTGACGATATAACAAAAATAAACAAGAAAGTGATAAAAATACTTTTTCGTTTCACAAACATATTGCTCAATTTAATCTTAAACTTTTGGCAATACTTTCTTTAAAAGGAATTGACGATAATTCTTTTGTTGTTTATTCCAAGCAAATTTCCCATAAATCTATATACACAAATAAGTTCATGAGGAAAATTGACATTAAATACATAATAAGAGACTAGCTGCAACTCAAAAGCAAATCTAATACTCGGTATGGCTTTCAACCGTATAGCTGTATTATCGACTTATAATTAGAGTTATAATTTGAATTATAAATAGAGTGCTGCAACACTTGAATAAAATCAGTAGAAAAACTTTCTCCCTCTTCAATAACTCAAGGGAGCTTTCAAGACTGAGGTGTACCTAAATGTTTAAGTAAAATTTTAAAAATGCAGAAAATTCAAAGCTCAAAAAAGTAATACTTTTTGATTATAAACCAAATTTAACTTTAAAAAAAAATGCATAGAAAAAACTTACATCCATTTCTCTATAAAATATACCCAAATTCTTGGACTCTTCTTGCTCTTCTGTGGAGGTGCTATCATAAGAAAAGGGAGCGCCTTAAATGCAAGAAAAGTTGCATCTTCTAAATAAAAATAAAAATAAATCAGGGAACAACTTGTATATACTTATAAACCTTTATAGGTAGATTATAAAAAAACCTTCTTTTGGATTAAAAGGGTATATTACATAAGGAACTAATAAATGAAATAAGATGAGAAAGAGAAACTTCGCACTTTTGCAGATTGGCACATAGTCAAGTTGCAGCAGCTTAGTACTTATGCAGATTGACAATTATGTTGTAAAATTTCTTATTTAAGTTATAAAGTTCTTATTTATTCATTCTCCCCACTTAGGGTAGTAGACATATATATACCTCCATTATATTAGTCTTCTGACAAAGTATTTTTGAACATTGAATCTCTTGCTAGTAACAAAATGATTTGTTTGCAAGTGTTAAAGCCATCATGCAATGTAACATTACTTGATACCTCTTCAATGAAATGAAACTATCTTTGAAATTCCCTCATTAGTTTCATATCTAGGAGGGCCCATGTTGCATGTTTCAGAAGTTACAAAAAGAGAATTTTTTTCTAAGTGTTTATCTTGTTTATATAATGTGTCAAGAAACTTGAGTGGCTCATTGCAATGTATAACACTACTTTCAAACTTACTCTTAAACATTAATAGAGTGGAATCTGCTCTAATGTCATTGAAAACTGATAAAGCAGCATTACCAATATCATCGCTCAAAATAACAACCGATCAATGATCAGCAATGTCTAAAGAAATTTCAAAAAATTCAAGGAAAACCTTTTTTTGTGAAATAATTACATTTGATTGGCAAGCTTTGAAAAACTATTTGAGCACTGCAATATAGGAAACTAATGATTATGAAATTACTGTTAACAGAAACAATTACTTCAGGTATAATGTAATAAGGAACACTGCTGCTTGTTCACAATGAAGAAACTAACAAAGGATCAATATATTCTATTGTTTTTTCAGGTTAAGTGTAAACTTGATAAGTAGAATTCTCTGGGAAACTAGGCAATGAATATTCTGAAAAATTAGGCAATAAATCGTTACGATTATCATTTAATAGATTACTATGTATTTTGGCTCAGGATTTTTATCAATGAAATCATTATCAATATTATGGTAACATTTTACATGTCTAATTAGCGACATATATGCTGTACAGGTACATTTACAGCCATTCTGTAAACATCTAATTGGATAAACAATTTTGGCAATACTATTATGACGTTGTAGATGATTTTGAAAAAAAATCAATAGTTACGTAAAAGTACCTCATATACAGCAAATAAACATTTTAATAACTTTTATCAAAAAAAAAAAAATTATATATATATATATATAAATATATATATATATATATATATATATATATATATATATATATATATATATATACACAATATATACATATTATAGCACTATAAATCATAGTTGCAATAGTTGCAATTATTGCATATATATATAAATATAATTTTATTAGAGGGCTTTCATAGGTATGATAAAATTATTTAATACATTATTTCAACATGCAACATGACTAAAAATCATAATCATAACTAATAAAAATCATTATTGAATGATATATCATGCAATAATGATTTTCATTAGTTATCTCAGCAAAAAAAAAAAGATATGTACATAATGTAAAGTATTCCTTTATGGTATACGTATACCAAAAAGGGTAGATTATATATATATACATATAATCTAGATTATATAGAACTAGATTATATGTATATACATATAATCTAGTTGTTAACATATGATAACTAAAATAGTTGTTGTTAATATAACTAAAATGCTGCTATTTTAACTAAAATAACATTATTATCATATTTATTTGATAATATTTATGTATTAAATATTTTCCATTTTGTTATAACATAAAAAAATTAACTTAAACAACATTAACATTAAGGTTTAACGTTAACAATATTATTTAACAACATTATTTACATTTATGTTAACAACATTACTTGTGTTATGTTAACAGATTACCAGTTAACTGCTAATGTCATGTAATTTTATTTAAACCTATATTTTACACATTTTTTTTAGACTAATGTTATTATTTTATATAATTAATGTTATTATGTTATAATTTTTATAACTTCATAATAATGTTGTTAACGTAACTAAAATAATTGTATTAACATTTTAATACAATATATATATAAAATAATAACATTAGTCTAATTAAATAAAGTCACACAACTAATTCATGTAGTAATGTACTACAAACCGAAGGTCTTACCTAATTTTTAACAACTAAAAATCGATATTTTCCTCGCTTAACATATTTAATACGATATTACTAAAATATTACAAACCAAATATTTTTTTATGAAAAAGTTAACTATGTATGTGTTTAAAATTACCATGCAGCAATAAAAGTTAACTAAAATTTTCAGTAAAACTGAAAATGGTTCTTAAAAAAAAACATGTCGCTAAAAACATGATTCTAGTCTCTTTTCCGAATAATTCGATACGAGAATCCAACAAAGTGCAACACTAAGTGTGGCTTTTTTTACGCATATAATGAAGTTTAATTTCATAATTACAAGTGTGGCTTTGAAGCGCACAAGTGTAGCCTTGAAGTACACTATTTGTGTAGCCAAAAAGACGCTACACTAAGTGTCGTGTTTTTTGTCCACACTATTTTTAAGCGTGTAGAAACCAAAACAATAGCATTTCGTCACAAAAAAAAAAAAAACTTTTTTAAAACGTATGACAAACGTATGACAAACGGTTTACCATAAAAATTTTCTGTAAAAACTATTTTAATTGCAGCAATCATTTCTTACGTTATAAATGATTGCTGGATTTTCATTCACAGACTCTTTTTTTTTGACAGCATTTTCAGTTTAAAGGAAGTTCAAAACGTCATATGACTTAAAAAGTCTTTGTTATCACTAACCAGGATAATAATATTCAGTGGGAAAATGTAAATTGCGGAGAAAGGTTCACTTTCTTGGAAATAACATAATTTATAGTCTTGGGAAATATAAATGATGAACATTTTGAAAGGTATCATTAAAGTATTGAAAGTGAGTACCAATGACATGCCAATTCGCTTCTGACAGAATTTTTTATTTATTTCATTCTTATTGGCTCTACTTCTTTTGATCTCAACCGAGTGAATTTTGTTATTTTAACTATACAAAATTATGGTTATATAAAGCTTGACCCCCCCCCCCCTCAATATGAAGGGGTTACACAGTTTATAAGGTCATAATTTATAAACGCTTAAAGGTTATTATATGAAATTTGCAAATTACTGATGAATATAAATTTAGTTAAGAATAGTAATAAAATGTTTCATGTGGCAGGTGTCACCATAATTTTAAGGCTTTTTTGTCCCGAGATTCCAATCATTACAGTTTTTTGCAAAGCATCCTTATTTGACGTAAGTATGATGACATTGTATAACATAAGTATAATCAGTTTTTGTCTCAAACATATAAAAACGCTGCATCCGCCCCTGATATATGTATGTATTTATAAATGTATGAATGTATAAATGTATGTATGTATAAATGTAGGAAGTTAAATTTGTAAAACTATAAATTAAAAAACCACAAGCAAAAATTGCTGAATATTTTATAACTTTTTTTAATAAATATATAAATATTTTGTTGTTGTTGTTGTTGTTGTTGTTGTTGTTGTTGTTGTTGTTGTTGTGGTAAATGAACGTGCTATGATGACAAGATGTTGAAATATTTTTAATTTTAGATACAAAATGGCATTGAATAACAAGCTCGCTAAAAATGTATATTTTAATTTTTAAATTGTACATATTCAATTATTATATTGTAAATTTTTTTTTATCTCTTGTTAAACATTTTTTTTAATATAAATTATATTTTTAAACATTAGTTTTTTATGTTGTTTTGTCACTTTATTGTTACAGATAAAAATTTTATAGATAATATCTTTTTAAGGATTAGTGATTATTATTCGAGTTTGTTTTTAAGAATAAGTGGTTATTATTCGAGTTTATTTTTAAGGATAAGTGATTATTATTCGAGTTTATTTTCAAGGATTAGTGATTATTATTCGAGTTTATTTTTAAGGATTAGTGATTATTATTCGAGTTTGTTTTTAAGGATTAGTGATTATTATTCGAGTTTATTTTTAAAGATAAGTGATTATTATTCGAGTTTATTTTGAAAGGTGAGTAATTATTATTCGAGTTTGTTTTTAAGGATTAGTGATTATTATTCGAGTTTGTTTTTAAGGATTAGTGATTATTATTCGAGTTTGTTTTTAAGGATTAGTGATTATTATTCGAGTTTGTTTTTATGAGTAAGTGGTTATTATTCGAATTTGTTTTTAAAGGTTAGTGATTATTATTCGAGTTTGTTTTTAAGGATTAGTGATTATTATTCGAGTTTGTTTTTATGAGTAAGTGATTATTATTCGAATTTGTTTTTAAAGGTTAGTGATTATTATTCGAGTTTGTTTTTAAAGATTAGTAATTATTATTAAAGTTTGTCTTTCAAAAAATACAAATTCAATAAAAAAAGTCTTTATTCCAGGTTTTTGTTAGAGGTAATCTTTTTTTATTTTGTTTAAAAAATTAGCTGGTTAACCTTGGTTTGCATGGTAATTTATTTTTTAAAATAACAAAACTTGTTAAAGTTTTTAAGCAAAGATTAGTTAAAAGCTATTTTAATTTTCTTAGAGTCTGATCTTAGAATCACACAGAATAATAAGAAAACAAAATTGTGATTTTATGAGGCAACTTTACTTGCCATATTTATTTGACATGCTTTTTGTTTTTAACTTGGCAGACGGGGGGTAATTTTTTCAATCTAATCGAAAGAAGCTAAATACACAGATATGGTAAATGCAATAAGTTGACTTATGATTATTATGCTTAATATCATTTCGTGTATTTTTTGTGAAAAACAAAACACACAAAGTGCGATACCAAACGATTATTTGTTTAATTAATCGTTCCTTCGTCCATGCTGTTCTCATAAAACGCTCATTGAGCCCTTCTCTATACATTTTTATTTGTTATTTATACTTTCTTATTTGCTGCTTTTTTTCGGATTGTGCTGTATACTATGTACTCAAAAATTCTTTGAAACTTTTGAAAGAAATATCTTGTTCACAGAAAACTGTGAGAAAATATATCTTTTCAGATAGATCTTTTTATATAAATATTGACGGAGCTAGAGTAGGTCGTAGAGAAAAAAAAGATTTAATTTTATAAACTTTATGTCGTCCATGAGCGCTAAAGGTTAGAAATGTATATTATCAAAATACTGAAAGTAAAAGTTTTATGAAACATATTCGTGGTTATATTATTTTACTAAACTGGGTTACCGTATTATATTTGAGGTTTTCGTAATAACGGTAAAATACGATTAATATATGACTGACTGCATTATTTGATTTCGTAGTTATATTAGCTTCCAGAATTGAGGTTTTGTATTATAATCGAGTTTTTCATATGAAACCGTAATATAATACTATTATTGAATGATTATTATTTGATACGGTAGTTACATTATTTTTCAAAATTAAGGTTTTGTACTCCGTTTTTGTTTTATTTTTAATCGCACGTGTGAAAAAGTTGCGTCATAGGACACCATTATTACTTTTCAATTTTGTTTTTGACAAAATGTGGTCATAAATATATATATATAAAAATTTAATATTTATGATTACATTTAAAATACTATTGACCACATATATGACGCTTGTAGTGACCGCTATTATGAATTTCCTTTTTTTTTTTTTTTTTTTTTTTTGCACGGTCGTTCAGACTTACTAAATAAGTGGAAAGTTATTATACGCAAGCGCAGTAAAGTTTGCATATTTTAAAAGTTTTAAAAATGGCTACGGATAACGAACATAAAAAAAATTCTCATTGACAACGAGCTATTTTTCTAATTTTTAGCAATTAAATATGCATTTAGCCGTTTATTAAAAGGAAATTATAATAAAAGTAACTTCTAGTACACGATAAAATGTTTCAAATTAAATATAAAACCTCTAAAAACGAATAAAATGTAATTACAGCAATAGCTTTTTTAGTGTGTTTTGTTTATCGTTTTTAAATTGTTTTTAAAAAAAATTTGAGCGTAGAAATTTTTAAATTTTAACTTTTTCAGATAGATGAACTGTTGATCTTTCTTAGAATGTTTACTGATATTAGTATTCAATTTTTTTTCAAGATTAAAAGATATTTTTTTAACATTAACTTTTAGTAAGCTGTATATATATATATATATATATATATATATATATATATATATATATATATATATATATATATATATATATATATATATATATATATATATATGTATGTATATATATATATATATATATATATATATATATATATATATATATATATATATATATATATATATATATATATATATATATATATATATATATATATATATATATATATATATATATATATATGTAAAAGTTGATTATAATAAAAAGATAGCGTATAACCATTTTAAAATATATTTAGATGTAAAAATAGATTAACAATAGTATATTTTAACTTTATATATATATATATATATATATATATATATATATATATATATATATATATATATATATATATATATGTATATATATATATATATATATATATATATATATATATATATATATATATATATATATATATATATATATATATATATATATATATATATATATATATATATATACATACATACATATATATTTATTAATTTCAATACGTATGTATGTTAGACCCATGGAAGTCGGCCTAACATACAATTTTTAATATATTTACTTTTTGTTTTTGTTAAAATCATTTCATATTTTAATACATTCGAATTTTAAAAGTTTTTTCCATTTCTAACTATTTATTGCTAAAATAATTAATAAAATACCTTATAATATTTTTTTAGTATTTAAATGAGCAAAGTTTGATCAAATCGAGGGGGCAGTTAATTTATATGGTCATAATTTTTAGGCACAATAATACAAATAAATTAAATTGAAAAACTGAAGGTTTATTTAGTATTAGATAGAGAAACTAAGCATTTTATCAAGTCATTGTCATCATGTTTTGGCAGAGGCAGTTAGCTTGTAGGGGTAATTTTGTTAACAATTCATGAAATTTTTTGCAAAACATTTAGAATTGACCAAAGCATGACCATAATTAAATTTAGATAAAAAAAAAAATTTTTTTAATGTATCTTGAAATTTTCAAGACAACTTCATGTTATTAGAGTAATAACATTCTAATAATGTTATTACTCAAGATCGTGAAAATTTATAATGATATGACCTTGAGCTAATTTCATTATAAACTATTAATAAAAGCAGGTTGATTTGACTCAAATAAATAGAGATTTTTTGAGTCAAGTCTTGAACCACTTATTTGATTTGATTCAAAATATTTAGGCTTAGCAGGGGCCTAATATATATATATATATATATATATATATTATATATATATATATATATATATATATATATATATATATATATATATATATATATATATCCACGACATGATATTAAATTAGTTTTTTGAGGTAGGTAAGAGTTTTTAGGCCTTAAATTAGAGCACACATTGTTTTTGTCACGATTTTTTTATAAAACATTAAATTCAAAATCAACTAAATCGAAAACTAAAATGCTTTTATTTTTATTTTTTTAATACAAGTAAAATCTATATGCATTATGAAAATTCAAAAAAAGATCTAAACATATTGATTTAGATACCAAAAAAAATAATAATAATTAAACATTTTATCTTAATTTAAAAAAACAATCGGACTAAAGTTAAGTATATATTTCAAATAATATATTAAAACAATAATTTACCAAAGAAAAACCATAAAAAAAGGATTTCAATATTTTGCAGATCCACCTTTCTTTAATAAGGATTGAAGAAGGCAATTATCTAAAATTTCAATGTTTCTATCAGCATTAAGTCAACCTTCAAATAATTAATAGCATTTAAGTCCTGCATAATTCATGTAGGCCCAAAAGTCTACACTGCCATTACCTTGCTTGGTTGGTTTTCATGTACAATTCAAATCAAATTACTCTTGAGGTGATCGCCATAGCAGAACACGAAGCAATAACATATTTTTGCATATCTACCTCAACATTCATTTTGTCTGAGAATATAACATTTCACCACTTGCTGTCGTGTTTCATCAAGCAAATTAATTTTATTAATTAAAAACGTTTATCTAATTGTGTTGCCCACCAGATTACCCAGATCCATAATGTCATCTGTTTCAGTATAAGTTTTTCAAATATGTGAATATTCAATATTTAACTATTGGCTATTTGACGAGGAGATAATACTTGGTTTTAAATAAAAATAGATTTGTAACATGTTTTTTCAGAGAATCTCAACCATGATTTTGGAGTTTCATGCTGTATTACTTCACTCGTTATGAGGCTTTTTCAATATCTGATTTCTTTGTGTTTTCATCAGTACTATTTCAAAATTAGAAATTTAGAGTTAATAAATGCTAATGAAAATCAAATTAAATTATTAAAAAAAATATTACATTAATTTTAAAAATAAAGCAGTAAGCATTAATTTTTAACGAACAAAAAAAATTTTAAAAAATATAGTCGATGTTATAAAGTTACATATAATTAGGGATACAAATGAAATTTTATGGTAACAACTTGTCCATTAAATAAAAAATACGATACTTATTAATTAGAAATAATAAAATATTTAAAAAGCTAACAAGTCTTTAAAGTAATTTTAAGCAAACAGGATATATAAGTAAGAATGCTCTAATTAATGGCCAATGGTGTATGTATCATATATTTATATATATATATATATATATATATATATATATATATATATATATATATATA